GTGGTGGCACACACCTTTAATCCCAGCACTCGGGAGGCAGAGGCAGGTGGATCTCTGTGAGTTCGAGGCCAGCCTGGTCTACAAAGCGAGTTCCAGGATGGGCTCCAAAGCTACACAGACAAACCCTGTCTCAGAAAAAAAAAAGAAGAAGAAGAAGAAGAAGAATCTGACAGAGAGGCTGAACTGACGTCCAGTTGAGGGGGTTCAGGAAAGAGACCAACCTGGACCAGAGAGACACCACCAGACAATAATCTCCAGATAGCCGGAGCTTGCTGGTACAATGTGATGAACCTTCCTTCACCTGGGTGAGGCAGAAATACCATGAATGTCAGAACAGCCAAGCTAGGCCACAAAACAGGAGCTGGACAGCCTGCCAGGTTCTCAAAGAATGTACTAAACACCCAAAATAAAGACAGAAAAGGGAACTGTAGAATTACGTTCCTTGTTGTGATAAAATATACAACTTGAGCCAGGCGGTGGTGGTGCATGCCTTTAATATCAATACTTGGGAGGCAGAGGCAGGAGAATCTCTGTGAGTTCAAGACCAGCCTGGTCTACAAGGCAAGTTCCAGGACAGCCAGAGTTGTTACACGGAGAAACCCTGTCAAAAAAAAAAAAAAAAAAAAAAGCAAAGGAAGGAAGGAAGGAGGAAGAAATGGCCCAGTCCCGACTCATACCTCTTCAGCACAATTCCTGCACCTAAGGGTCAAGGATCATTACATAAGAGGGACCTGGAGGACTGTAAGAGCCAGAGGAACAGAAAGTGTGCTGTGAAATTGTGTCTCCTCAAAATGTCAGAGAGACTGCATCCATGAAGTCTAGTCAACATGGCTGCCTAAACAAGACTTGAATAGGGACAACCAATGGACATGCTAACATGAAGGAAGGAACGCTTGTGAGGCTTCAACCCTAGACAAAGAACTATGGGCCACTGGGCAATTCTGAGAGGGAGAGACACGGTCTTTCCTAGGGAAAAGTCCCCAGTGAGTCATCTAATAAATACCAAGTTGTCAACCCTGAAAACATAGACATGCAGATAACATTACACAGACTGAGCAGGTTGTATTCATGTATTCAGGAGGGTGTGTGTGTGTGTGTGTGTGTGTGTGTGTGTGTGTGTGTGTGTGTAACAATAATTAAAAGGAGGCAATGAATTTGAGAGAAAGGCATTACATATGAGAGGGATCGGTGAGAGGAAAAGGAAGTGGGGAATGATGTAAATATAACTTAAAAAAATGATTATTAAAAAAAAAATGAAAGCTGCCAAGCTGTGGTGGTGCACACCTTTAATCCCAGCACTCAAGAGGCAGAGGCAGGTGGATCTCTGAGTCAAGGCCAGCCTGGTCTACAGAGTGAGTTCCAAGACAGGTTCCAAAGCTATACAGAGAAACCCTGTCTGGGGGGCGGGGGGATGAAAGCTAATGCCCAGCTTTCTTTCCATTTTGAATGCAGTCTAGGACCCAGTCCACAGAACAGCGCTGCCTGCATTTAGGGTAGGTCTTCCCTACCTCGAATAGCTCAGTCTTGGAACCCTCAGACATACCCAGAGGCTTGTCTGGGAACTGATTCTAAGTCCTGTTAAGCTGACAATCAATATTAGCTGTCCCAGGTGCCTCGGTTCAGAAAGACTAGGCAAGTGGAAACCATGACCCACAGAGTGGAGCTGAGGGCCAAGGCCATCATCAGAGGTAGCTGGTACCAAGATTCTACCCAAAGTGGCCGTTGCTGGCTGAGGATGCTGTTAATCTGCCGGGGTCCGAGAGGCAGACACTGGGTTGGCATCAGCTAAAAGGAGCAGCTGCTGAGCAAGCAAAGCAGAGGAGGGAGATGCTGAGCAGTCCCCTCAGGATGCAGGGACACACACACCACACCCCAGAGACCCTACGATTTCTGTTTTAAGTACCCTGTCCACAGGAGATGAGTAGAGCCAGCATCTCCAGGAGTGAAGACCACTCATGTCTTACTCCTGTGTCTGTAATCAAACCCCCATCTCACAGCCCACCCAGAGACCAGCACTCAGTTCATTTCAGAATGAATAGTGCATTCAGAAGATAGCATGTGCTATGCAATTGCCAGGGCCAAGCACTCACCCGAATGGGCTCATCCGGGAATCCAGGTTTGCTGGGTCTGTCCTGTCGCCGGGACCTCAGGAGCTGTTTGGCTTGCTTTTCTGTCAGAATCGGGGAGCTTTCTGTAAAGAATCAGGAAAAGACTTGAGAGGTTCCCAGGCCCGGGAGTCCACACTTCATCTCAGCACTCCAGAGAGGATTTGCAAATTCAATCTTGGTTAAAACACAAAGAGGAATCTGTCCCAAAGGATGTGGCATTTCTGAGGACGTGGGGATTTTAAATTGTTTCTACTATGGTTAACTCAGAGCAAATACTTCAGAATTTAAATCTACTTACTTCTTGCAATGGCCCATTCATTTATAGTGGACATTTATGTAATGTATAGAGGTTATTGTTTGTTTGTTTTTATTTGTTTTAAGACAAGGTCTCTTCACTGGCTGGCCTTGAACTCCACGTCTAGTTGGGATGACCTTGAATTTCTGATCCTCACGAGTGCTGGAATTAGAGTTGTTTGCCTCCATGCCCTGTTAACACGGTCCTGGGACTAACTACTGTAACACTGAGCTACAACTCCAGCCCTGAATATGGTTTTCAAAAAAATGTATTCTTTCCCATTCTATTATCTGTGGCAATTAAGACTATGTTAAATCCGGTCTTCACATATTCCACTCAGAAGATATGGTCACAAAATTGTTCGTGGCAGGGAAGGTAATCACATGCAAACATTAAAAGAGAAGAAAGAGTATCAGAATATCAATATACACGATATATGATCATGTCAGTGCAAAAACAGGCCGTGTCCGTAGAGAGAGAACCTACCTGAGGAGAAGACCAGCAGAGTGAGGACAAGGACCAACACAAACAGCTTCTCCATGGTGCCAGGCCCTGAGCCCCTGACTGAACTCTCCGGACCCGTCCTACCTACTTGAAAGAGGCCCTGTCAGTCCTAGTGACCTGTAGACTCTCACTAACGCGGCTTGCCACGTGATGCTAAGCATATCTGACTCTGAGTTTGTAATAATGACTGTTAAAATATCCCCCCCGCAAATTCCTGTGACTTTTCATCCTGAGACAGGAAATGATCCCTCAGTAATGTGACCTCCTGAATGTGGTTTTGAGAATATCCATTTCGTGTAAACAGGTCTATCGAGCACATTCCGTAACGTTTCTGAGTATTTCTCTAAAGCTTTGGCTTATAGTCTGTTTCACTGGGTAGCACACGTCTCTCTCTCTCTCTCTCTTTTTTTTTTTTGACATCTGGTTATTTTGTGTGTTTGGATGTGTGTGTACATGGCTCCGTGCAAGTCTGGAAGTCAGGGGCCAACTTGTGGGAGTCAGTTCTCTCCTTCCACTGTGTAGGTCCTGGGGATTGAACTCCAGGTTATCAAAGGTGGTCAGGCTTGGCCTCAAGGCCTTTACCCACATAACCATCTCACTAGCCGGAATTGCCTCCTATATTGGCATATTTGATTTATGGATTTTGGAAAAATATGTTTCTCTCTCTTTCTCTTTCTCTCTCTCTCTCTCTCTCTCTCTCTCTCTCTCTCTCTTCTCTCTCTCTCTCTCTCTCTCTCTCTCTCACACACACACACACACACACACACACACACACACACACACCCTGATAAATTCAGAGGCAGGTAAGCAAGGACCATGATGAAGGGAATAAAAAGATTCTCCCCCTGGCTTTGGAGCCAGAAAGACCAACCTTTAAATCTTAACTTCATATCTCTCTCTCTCTCTCTCTCTCTCTCTCTCTCTCTCTCTCTCTCTCTCTCTCTCTGCTCTGCTCCTTTAGGTGGGTCGGTAAGTCATTTAACTCCTTTCTTCTCTTCTTGGAGAAGGACCCCACAAAACCCACCTTTGGGTGTGATGAAGCAGTGAGGAGAAGCGTGAACTCACGGTAGCTGTGACCCCTCACTATCAGCCATCTCTTTCTCAAAACCGAGGAAGGTGAGATCCAGAGATGGAAAACCCCAAGTTCACACACACACACACACACACACACACACACACACACACACACACACACACACTGAGGAGAATTGAAACCCGTCTCCACACTTCCACAGTGTGTTCTCACTATGCTCCATGCCATGGCTTAGATGCCGACTACTTATCCAAAAAGGCCCCCGTGTTAAAGGCTTGACCCCCAAAATGCCGGTACTTGTGGGGGAACAACCTTTAAGATGTGGAGCCTAGTGCAGATATAGTGATGTATATGACTTTAGTCCCAGCACTCTGGAAGTACAGGCAGGCAGATCTCTGTGAGTTTGAAGCTGCCCTGATCTGCATAGAGAGTCTTAAGACAGCCAGGGCTGTGCAGACATACTCTGTCTCAAAAAAAAAGTCAGGCAGTAGTGGCCCATGCCTTTAATCCCAGCATGCTGAGAGCAGAGGCAGGCAGATCTCTGTGAGTTCAAGACCAGCCTGGTCTACAGAGTGAGTTCCAGGACAGCCAGGGCAACACAGAGAACACAGAGAAAACTTGTCTCAAAGAACAACAGCAAAAAAAAAAAAAGAAAACTGTGGCGCCCACCTAGGAAGTCCTACGGTCACTGGGAGCACGCCCTGATGGGACTGTGGGACCTGGCTCCGTCCCTCTTTCTCTTTTGCTCCTGAATCACGTGATCTACTCGGTTCCATTCTGTGCTCCTGCCATGCTATGCTGCCTCACCACAGGCCCAAAAAGGGGCAGTCAGCCAAGTGCTAGAACCCCCTAAACCTTCCTAATGTTCTAAACCTTCCTAATGCTGAGACCTCTTAATACAGTCCTCCATGTTGTGTGACCCCCAACCACAAAATTATTTCATTGCTGCTTCATCACTGTAATTTTGCTACTGTTATGAATCACAATGTAAATATCCGATATGTAGGATATCTGATGTGTGACCCCTGGGAAAGAGTCATTATGCCCCAACTGCCCTAAACTGTGAGTCAAAAAGAGGAAAAAACAAAAAACCTATTTGCAGGGCTGGAGCAATGTCTCAGTAGTTAAGAGCACTAGCTGTTCTTCAGAAGGACCCAGATTCAGTTCCTGGTACCCACACTCAGAACTCCAGTCAAGCACACACATGGTACACATGCATGCACTCAAGCAAAACATTCATATATAAAATAAAATAAACCTAAAACAATTGTAAGGAAAAACAGTCATGAATTGGAAAGAGGAACAAGGCAAGAGGGCACACAGGAGGGTTTGTTGGGGGAAATATAATTACATTATACTCTCAAAAAATTTGTAAATAATTGTTTAAAGAAACTTTTTATCTTTAAAATTTGATTCTCTCAGGTATTCCATCACGGGGACATAAACCTGACTAACACACCCATAACACACTTCTTCCTGCACAGGGCTTGGGGAAGTCTCAGGAAGATCATAAGCAGCCTTAACCAGACTTAAGGTTATTTTCGTAAAGATAAGTGAATCTGCAGGGTGGGGTGGCTCCCTGCCAGGATGCCAGCTCAAGGTCCTCTCCACCACACAGGAAGTTCCGTGCAAGCCTGAATCTCACAGACCCTGTCTCAACTGAAGAGAAGGAGAATCCAACACGCTGCTGAAGTTCTCTGAAATTCATCAATAAATATTATATGAAGAAATCATTAGATACATAACAAATTATAGCTAAAACCAATGTGGCTTTTCTTTGCATAAAACTCTCCATTCAGAATAATGACCAGCTGTCCTGTGGTCACTTTGCCAGCTCCAAAGAAAACAGAACCTGACCCACAGTTGTCTGAGTTTATGCTAATGCTAGGTAACTGATATTAAACCGAAATGTCCTCAAAAAGAAAAGAAAGAAGAAAAATAAACAAAATTATAAAACTAAAATATCCTGGCCACTGGGTTGGTATTTTGAGCAGACAGCAAACAGGAAAAGAAATCATGTGCTGTCAGTAAAAGTTACCTCACACGTCTCCTCTCTCTCTCTCTCTCTCTCTCTCTCTCTCTCTCTCTCTCTCTCTCTCTCTCTTTCTCTTTGAAACAAGGTCTCATTATATAGTCCTGGCTGTTCTGGAACTCACTCTGCAGACCAGGCTGGCCTGGAATTCACAGAGATCCACCTGTCTCTGCCTCTTGAGTGCTGGGATTAAAGGCGTGAGATACCACATCCAGTTGTCCATTTCTGAAAAACACAGGGTTTGGTTTTAGGAGCTCTGCTGCGGCTAGCAACCTTCTGTTTTTATAGTTCTCAAGAACCTGGGAGATGGCTCAGTGGTTAAGAGCCCTGCATCAGGCTTTTTCTTTGGGGCCACCAACCAGCTCCCAAATCAGGACATGGAAACATTAGTTATAAATGCTTGGCCTTAGCTTATGCTCGTTTCTGGCTTTTTTTTTTTTTCTTTGACTCAATTCAACCTGTTTCTCTTCATCTTCGTCTTGCCTCAGGGCTTTTTACCTTTCTTTCTATATGTCCTCCTTTCTTGCTTCCTCCAGTGTCTGACTGGCCGGAGGCTGCCTGGCTTCTGGACCCAGGCATGTCCCCCTTTTTTTCCTCATTCTTTTCTTCTCTCTCATCCTCTTCTCTTCTACTTATTCTCTCTGCCCAACAACCCCGCCTATCCCTCTCCTGCCCAGCTATTGGCCACTCAGCTTTTTATTAGACCGATCAGGTGCCTTAGGCAGGCAAGGTGCAACAATGCAACACATCTTTACATAATCAAACCCACATCCTTTCATGTTAGGCAAATGCAGCATGAACAAATGTAACACATCTTTACATTGCTAACAAAGGCAGCAGGAACAAATGTAGCACATCTTTGTCCAGTTAAAATAGTATTCCACAGCAAGCCCTGGCTCCTCTCCTAGAGAACCCGGGTTTGACTCACTGCACCTACATGGTGGCTCACAACCACACCTGTAACTCCAGCTCTAGAGGAGAGGCTAGTTTTTATGGGCACTGCATGGACATGATACACAGATATACACACAAGCAATACACCCACACACATAAAATAAAAATAAATAAAAAACAAGTTTCAAAAAAAGAACTAAGGAATTTTAGAGTATTATTTCAGGAATATGTATATTTGTCACATTAAGTATTTTGAGGTTGTTTTTGGTTTTTCTTTTGGGGAGGTGGGGAAGGACGGTTAGGCTGGTAAAAATGGATACTAAGCCTGATAACCTAAATTCAATCCCCAGGACACACAGGATGAAATAAACTGAAATACTGACCTTCACACAAGTATCAGGGAATTCTTGTGCCAAACATATATGTATCTACAGAAGCACACAAGTAAATAAATAAAATATACAGGGATCTTGTTTTTTGTTTTTTGCACATACTCATTTTTTCATTTTTTTTCTTTGACTTAATTTAACCTGTTTCTCTTCATCTATGTTTTGCCTCAGGGCTTTTTACCTTTCTTTCTGCTCTTTGTGGTTGGATAGAACACTGTTGTTTTGTTATATCAAGTAAACTTCTTCCATCAATTAGAAAAAAAAAATCTATACCTAGCTAGAAATTTCTCAGCATACATTCACTCTGAAAGCATTTCTCTAATCTAGTGATTTCTGTCCAATAAAAAACATAATGTGGGCCAGGCAGTGGTGGCGTGTGCCTTTAATTCCAGCATTTGGGAGGCAAAGGCAAGGGGGGAATCTCTGAGTTCAAGGCCAGCCTGCTCTAAAGAGGGAGTTCCAAGACAGCCAGGACTACACAGAGAAACCCTGTATTGAGGAGAAAAAATGCAGAAAACATAATATGAACCAGCATAGGCACACAGCTGTAATCCCAGCACTCAGGAGACTAGGGAAAGAGAATCATGATTTCCAAGTGGACCTTAGATACTCTGTAAGGCCCTCATTCAAACAAACAAAACAAAACAAATAGATACAATAGAAAGAAACTTTTTTGGCTGAGGATGTAGCTCAGGTGTCAGATCCTTGCCTAGCGCAGGCACGAAGCCCTGGGTTTGAGCCCCAGCAGCTCATTCATAACTGAGTATGGTGACATAAGTCTGAAATCACAGCACCTAGAAGGGGGAGGCAGGAGGGTCAGAAGCTCAAGGCCATCCTCGGCTAATAGTCACACGCCTTTACCTCCAGGACTCTTGTGGCAGAGGCAAGCAGATCTCTTTAAGTTTGAGTTCCGGGGATATTATAGAGAGACCCTGTCTCAAAAAAACACACAAAAACAAAACAAAAAAAGAAACGTAAAATATAAACCTGGGCTATTTCGTACTGTCTAGTGTTGCTGAATCAGGCCTCCAGACTCTGACATGTAAGTTTACACTTTCACGTTTCAAGTGCTCCACAGCTGCATATGGCTGGCTAATGGCTACTGAATTAGACATCAGGGGTCTACAGTCGTCCATCTTTCTTGCTGTTCTCCCATTTACAGCCACAGCTGGTCTCCCATCATCCCTGCTGCCCACGTCAATCCTTCCCCCATGCAGCAGCACTGATAAAACCTCGCCTAGGTAAGGGGACACACCACTTGGGAAGGCAGAGGCAGATGGATCTCTGTGAGCTCCAGGCCAACCTGGTCTACAGAGTGAAACCTTGTCTAAAAACATTTTTTTAAGTTTGAAAAAATGGAATTAAAAACTCCACTACCTTCCCAAACAAAATGGGGAGGGGGTCCTTAACCGTGTGCTGCGTGGCCCTGAGCTATATGCATTTAGCTCTTTCCAATCCGGTTCCCACGAGCCCTCCAATCCTCCCCAATCACTCATTTCTACTAAACAAGTTCTTGCCTACCTCAGGACCTCTGCATGTGACACCTCCTTCTCGTCTTTCAGGTGTCAGCTTGAAACTTCTCCCATCTGGTAAGTTCCTCCCTGCCCTTCTTAGCCTTCTCAGTAAAACTCCCCTTCCTCCCACACCCATTTCTGTCCCATAATTTATTAATATCATATTTAGTTATTTGCCTTTTAAAGGCCGTCTCCTCCACTGGGCTGTAAACTCAGTTAGTGTGTATTCTCTCATGGACTGGAGAGGTGACACAGGAGAGTCAGAGCCTGTATCACACCCTGGGATGCTCAGGTGGAAAGGACCCCACAGGTGTGGAGCTAGAGGAGCTGAAGCTTGGAAGAAAGAGCCTGTTCAGTTTTGCCTCTCAGAAGAGGATGCAATTCTCAATACGTCCACAAGGTAGCAGAATAGAGAGCAGGACCCCACAACTAAGACCACAGGGAAGATGAAGCCACTAAACTTTCCTATTCTGGAGGCGGCCAGGCTCCCAGGGAATCACCGGTCCTAGGAAGAGGTGGTGCTCCGGTGCCCAAGACTATTTCTCTACTACTTAGATCGTCTTTATTTTTTTATGTTCTTCATTCCTAGGGCTCAAACCCAAGGCCTTGAGCGTGATAGGGGAGTGCTCTACCTCTGAGCCCTACCTCAGGTCTTCATCAGACTCCCAGCGCCAGGAGAGCTCAGTTACCTGTTTGACAAGAACACAAGAGCTTGGAGAGGCACACCTGGAACCCCAACACTCCAAGGCTGAGCCAGGAGGACTGTGAATTACAGACCAGCTGAAAGCGAGACCCTGCCTCTAACTACATAGACAGACAGACAGAGAGACAGACAGACAGATAGATGATAGCTGCAGCCCTCCACCCATAATCTCATGGTATTCACATAACTAATGTTTTCATTTGTGGTTCCCATTTTCTTTTGAGTGATTCTAAAAGAACACAGATAGTTAAGGATCTTCGATAAAGACAACACTATAGAGTTCTCTGCCTCCTCTCACTACATGATGTTTTAATAGCAAAAGAGATTTAAAATTCCAGGAACTAAAAAAAAAATTCAGAGACACAGGAAATCTATTTACATGTTTGTTTCTGTTTGTTTGTTTGTTTTAGTACAGAAAGACAGTGAATCTATCCCAACCAAGAGAACTAACATGTGTCCACATACATAGGCCCAGAGTCAGCCTCGTAAATTCTTTGTTTATTTTTGTTTTCTTTGTGTAGCCCTGGCTGTCCTGGAACTCCCTCTGAAGACCAAGCTGGCCTCAAAACCACAGAGATGGCCTGCCTTTGCTCCCTGGGTGCTGGGATTAAAGGCATGCGCCGCTGCTGCTGCTGCTGCTGCTGCTGCTGCTGCCGCCGCCGCCGCCGCCGCCGCCGCCGCCGCCGCCACCACCACCACCACCACCACCACCCAGCTAAAAATATGCTGCGTACCAAGACAAGAGTGTCCGTGCATGCTGTGTTTGTAATCCTAGCACTTGGGAGGAGGAAGCAGGAAGACCAAGAGGTCGAGGCCATCCTGGGCTACATAGGAAGTTCAAAGCCATCATGGACAACATGAGACCCTGTCTTTGAAATCAGAAGGGGGGAAAAATGAGTCTGTGAAACAGTTTCAGAGGACCAAAGATGCCGAGGCTAGTCACGAACACCAGGATACAGACTGATACTCTACACTGTTTATTAGGAGAGACGGTCACGAACACCAGGATACAGACTGATACTCTACACTGTTTATTAGGAGAGACGGCGGCGGCCCCTTTTTAACGTCAGATTGCTTGCCCCACTCACACATCCACCTTGGCTTCCCTTCCCGTCCCTCTGGGTCTGGCACAAGCTCACCCTTCCCTTCCTGTTTGGAGCTGCAAAACAATGGTGAGATGTTTCGGCCTTGGACAGCGGCCTTCCGGCCTGCTGAGTGCTTCCACAAATGGACTTCAGTTTCTCTTCTGGGTCCAGGGATGTTGGCCTCCATCTCTGTCTGCCCAGCAGGTGAGCACCGCCAAGGCCAGCAACGGTTCTGGTGGCCAGAGCCAGCCGCCTGTCCAACCTAAACAGGAAGGAGAGGCACACGGGCAGAGGGGCAGGAATGCAGGACGCTGACAGGAAAGGACAGCGGCGTGGGGGTGCATGGTGTGGACGACAGTCTCTGCTGTAGCATGCAGGAACGGAGCAGGGCCTGGGACTGCAAGACACAGCACTCACTCTGAGGGAAACACTGCTCTTATCTCAGGCTGACCAAACTTCCCAGACCAGGGGCCCCCAGCAGCGCGTCTCCAGTCTCTGAGGAGTTCTGATGCAGAAGACAGAAAAAAGAAAAAGAAAAGAGGAAGGTAAAAAGAAGAACCTGGGTCAGGCACGCTGACACACCTGTAATCTCAACGGTCAAGAAGCTGGAGCGGTAGGATTGAGAGTTAGAGGCCAGCCTGAGCTTCACAGCAATAAACTGGGTCTAAATTGACTAATGAATCCAACAAACCCCCAGGGACAATCAACAACTGTAAAAACAGAGACCATGGACAAGTAATACTAGAATCTTCTGAGAGGTAAGAGGACATTTTTGCTCAAAAGCAGCAGGAACAGGATGCTGGGGAAAAAAGAAAAATTTGGCAAACAAGTCAACAAAGAGACAAAACTCTAAGCATGGTGTGACAGTACACGCCATAGTCCCAGCGGCTTCAGCAGCTGAGGCAGGGGGGTTGCTTGAGACCAACCTGAGCAACACAGTGAGGGACCCTATCTCAAAAAACGGGAGAGAGAAGGAAAAAAGAAATAAAGGAACATTCTAAAATTGAAGACGAGGACTGGTAAAATGGCTCAGCAGGAAAGAGGCTTCGACTTGATTTCAGTCTCTGTGCCTGCGCTGGAAGAGGAGAGCCAAGTCCTGAGACATCCTAGGGCCTGCAGGCAGTCACTGCAGCATGTACACACACACACACACACACACACACACACACACACACACACACACATAAACTAAAGTTTTTTTTTTTTAACACAAGAGCAGAAATTGCAAACTTAATAAAAAAGATTTAAGGGAAAAACTGAAGAAATATTTTTAAAATAAATTAAGAGTGACAGGGAGGCTTAAGAAAACAAGAAAAATATGTTTTAAAGAGGAGGCATTTACCAAAATGAGTTGAAAACCGTGTCCACATGAAAAGCTGCCCAGATGTTCATAGAGGCTTTATTCATCATGGCCAAAACCTGGCGACCATCAAGATGTCCTTCCAGAGGCAAAGGGACAAATGATCCGGAGAGAAAACAAAACAAAACAAAGGGAAAAAGGGAAATTTTAATAATAATTGAAAGAAAGCAGCTGAAGCCAGGATACCTCGTATGCTGGGTACCACGATCCACCTGGACACCCAGAGCTGTGGAGGCCCCTGCTCCCCACCACCTCACCCTATTACCTGGGTCACGTGAACATACTCATCACCCCACAGCATCCTATCCACCTTCTTTTGTGAGGCAGCCAACTAGCCGGATAGCCATAAGAATTTTCTTGTTTCCAACTCCCCAGAGCTGGGATTGCAAGTACAGTCCACTACACTCAGTTTTTCTTTTCTTTTTTCTTTTTTACATTAAAAACATCTTTACCCATTATTTTATGTAATGTGCATGGCTGTTTTGCCTGCATACATGTCTGTGCACCATGTGCATGCAGTGCCCAAAGAGGCCAAAAGAGGGCATCAGATTCCTCCGGAACCAGAGTTCCAGACTTGTGAGTGGCCCTGTGGGTGCCAGGAATTGAACCCTGGTCCTCTGGAAGGGTCTTCAGTTTTTAACAGCTGAGCTATCTCTCCAGCCCCAACACACTCAGTTTTTTATGTGCATTCTGGGATCAAATGCAGGTCCTCACTCTTGCACAGAGGCCCTTTACCGGATGAGTTACCTCTCCAGCCCCTGGAGCATGTAGTTTTAAACTCTGATATATGAAAGATTTCAGAATTTAAACAACAAGTTTTTAAAATAAATTAATCAAAGAATAACCTGGGGATCTTATAAGGAAGGGAGGTACCTATCTCCACCACAATTTGATTAAGGGGAACTGGGCAGGAACTAGGCAACCCGAATTTTTAGATGATATTTGGTGGCCTTCAAAAATCAAAATCTAACTGGGTTAAGAGCATCATGGCTTTGGTACAAGACAAACTTGGGGTCAGTTGACTGGGGCTGTGTAAAACGAACTTCCCTCACATATAAACTAAGAATGGGGAATGCGGCAGTGTCTACATGGGTCACCACAGCTAGCTATGGTAATAATAACTGGGGTGATAATCACCAGGGCGCAGCTCAGTGGTAGTACATGGGCTTAGCTTGCAGGAGGCTCTGGCTTCAATTTCACAGGAACAGAATAAGGTTCCTCAGAGGTGGGAGTTTCTGTGAAACTTCCACTATTCAGGCAAAATTATCCGATAATACTAACTTATCACAAGGACCACTTTTGTTTGCCTGAGACAGGGTTCAAATTGACCTTCCTATCACTATGAAGCCTAGGCCGGCCTCAAACTTGAAGGAAACCTCCTGCCTCAGGCTCCCCAGCGAGGGAACAGGTGTGCACCACCACACTCAGGATACTGGTCTCGAAAACTTTTTCATAAGCATTGATCCCTTCGCAATCTTTACATGCATGTGAGAACCTGAGGAAATCCTGTGAGACAGTGTTGGTTTTTAGCGGCGCTCTCACCCTGCGAGGAAAAGTCACGACACATGACAGAATCCACCAACAAGAGGTTTATTAAGATGAGGAGAGAAGGACAGATGTGATCAGGCCTGCTGAAAGGACGCGCGCACATGTGTGTGTGTGTGTGTGTGTGTGTGTGTGTGTGTGTGTGTGTGTGTGGAGGGGACATGGGAGCCGGCTTTTAAAGCCAAGCTGCCTGCGCACACAGCCCCTACGTGGCTATTCCACGCATGCGCATAGATCACGTGGTTGTGGGGGACCCTAGGATGACTGTGGCTTATAATAAGTTTTGGTTTTACTCAATCACTGGGCAAGCTTCAGTGAAACATTTCACTATTAGGATAAGAATTTGTACTGTATCAAGCTGATAATAAAAAAAGTTAATTTAATTTTAAAAAAAGATCACGTGGTTGTGCCTCGCACTTTACGCAGCCACGCAGCCACGCGGCCACAGGGTCATGGGTCATGTAGGATGTATGACCCGGAAATGACTAGGGGGAAATGACTTAAGTGTCCTGCCAGGCATGCGCAACCGTGGGGCGTGGTTGGAATTCCTATAAGTGAGTTGTTTACTAGAAACAACTTCACTAATTATGGAAGTGGGGTTACATAAAGTGTGGATCAGATGGAATATTATAGTACAGAATAGTACAGAATGGAATATTATACAGCCACTAAATGTGACCTTTAATTATTAGATATATATATATATATATATATATATATATATATATATATACACAGAAATGTATAAATACAATCTGCTGAGTTCATGTAGTGTCTTTCATATGTAGGTGTGTTTAGGGCTGACCACTTGACACTGGATAATCGAGTAGGAGGCTTCTCCCTGGGTATGACTGGTCCTCCCTCTCAGTAGTCATTAACTGATTGCAGCTTTTCATGCAGGGGTGCAGCCTTGTGAGACATGCTGGCACGTCATCAGGCGCCATTGTTCAGGCCTTGTTTAGGCTGTAAACATGACTTTTAAAAATATGTAAAAGCTATTTTGTTGCCAAGCATTGTGATGTACACTTGTAACCTGAGCACCGGGGAGAATGAGGCAGGGCAGTCACCATGTGTTAGAGGCTTACTTGAGCTATACAGAGTGACTCTGTCACACACACACACACACACACACACACACACACACACAGTCTTGAAATCTAAATTTGAAACACAACCATAGAGACTGTTACCACACTGGTGGGCGGTGGTGGCGCACGCCTTTAATCCCAGCACTCGGGAGGCAGAGGCAGGTGGATCTCTGTGAGTTTGAGGCCAGCCTGGGCTACAGAGTGAGATCCAGGAAAGGTGCAAAGCTACACAGAGAAACCTTGTCTCGAAAAACCACACACCCCAAAAAAAGACTGTTACCATGTGCCCCAAGTGTGTACAGAAAAAGGTAAAGCCACTGTTTCCAAAGAGAACAACAGAAGAGGACTGGAGCTGGGTGAGTGGAGGGCTTGTCTTGCCCACTTTGCAGCCCTGGGTTCCATCCCCAACACCAGGCAGGAGGGTCAGAAGCTCAAGGTCATCCTCAGCTACATAGTGAGTTCTAGAACAACTCTGGATAAATGAGAGCCTTTTTCAAAAGGAAAAAAAGACGACAACAGAAGGAAAACAGGTCAAAATGTTTAAACACCAGTTGTCCCTGGTAAGACACTTGGGCACGTGTGTGTGTGTGTGTGTGTGTGTGTGTGTGTGTGTGTGTGTGTGTTTTCCAAATATTCGACAATGGAAAGAATGGAGAGAAACCGTCATTTTTTTTTTCTAAGAGTATGTTCTTCTGTTGCCTCTTCAAAAATGTAAGGGTTCTGCACCCAGAGGGATTTATAGAAAATGGTGACTTTGCACACACACAGTGCCAGTGGACAGAGCAGAAGGAGCGCTGTAGAGGTCTTCCCACACTCACTCCTGTTACAGATGAGGATGTAAGACCCAGCGGTGGAATGATGAGCCTGGGAGGCAGGACTTCCACCTGGGCGGGGCAGGGCTCTATTCCCAGCACTCGCCAGCCGCTTGATCATCTTCCCATTTACCAGTATCACCTCCATCTTCCAGTTCCAGACTGTTAGGTATGCCAGACTCGGACTCACAATGTGGTGCTGGGCTAGCTCATCAGCTGGTAGCTATTGTAAATGCAGACTCCCACAGCCAGGCAAAGTGGTACTTGCCTGTATTCCCAGCACTCGAGAGTCAGAGGCAGGATATTTGTTTTACCGTTGGCTTCGCGGCTACACCTGAGTCTACTGATATTTTAACTACTGTCTGCAGCCCTGCAGCCCCACCGGTTGGGTCGGTACTCTGCTGCTGCCAAATGTAGTTTTTAACTAAGTATCATTCTACCAATAAAGACTCAGGAGTCAGATGCTGGGGTGAAAGCCTGCTAGCTCAGAGAAGCCAAGAAGCAACCAGCTGACCTTCCTTTTTGGTAGGAGACCTAGCAAGAAAGAGAGTATCTCTCCAGCTGTCCCAAACAAACAACTGACAAAACTCTAAGTCTACTCATCTTCCTGCCTCCTCCATGCTCTCTATGGCTAATTCCTGTCAACTAGTTGCTGGCTCTGCCCCCTGATCCGAGGTTGATTTTATGAACACAGTCTCAGGTTTCACTGTACGATCAAATATCCCACAACAACGACTGACACAAATTTGAGGCGAGCCTGGTTTATATAGTGAAACTGTCTCAAAGTGATAAGAATCTCAGGCCTTTTTCCCCGAGAAAAGGGGAATCAGGGCAAGGTTCCCACAGCAACAACAAATTACAGAAACTCTTACATGGCTTAGACTGAAGCTGACCGGGATGACCAAAGTAATTATTTTTATTTTATTTACTTATCTATGTTTGTGTGTATGTGTGTGGGTCCTCACAGGGCACAGAGAGTATCTGGAGGTCAAAGGACAATGTCTTAGTTAGGGTTTCTATTGCTCTGAAGAAACACCATGCCCACGACAACTTTTTTTTTTTTTTTTTTTTTTTTTTTTTGATTTTCAAGACAGGGTTTCTCTGCGCCTTTCCTGGATCTCACTCTGTAGACAACTCTTATAAAGGAAAAACACTGTGGTGGCTGGCTTAAAGTTTCAGAGGTTTAGTCCATTATTGTCATATCGGGAAGCAAGGCAGCATGCAGGCAGACATGGTGCTGGAGAAGGAGCCGAGAATTCTTACATCTTGACTCACAGGCAATAGGAAGTGGTCTCTCTCTCACTGGGTGGAGCTTGAATATATATATATATATGAGACCTCAAAGCCCACCCCCACAGT